ATCTTTGACAGTGGAAAACCACATTATACCAAAATCGCACCAGAATATCCGACGAGGAATCTTTCAAGGATAATCCCTGTCAGCCCTTCTGTTTTGTCTGCCCTTAATCCCCCTTACGCATGGACTAAACAATAATTGCTATGCATACAAAAAATAAGTTATTCAATCACCTACTCTACATGGATGATCTCAAACTCTTTGCCAAAGACGACAGAGTGGAAAGCTCTCCTAAATAATGTAAAAAGTTCCAATGACGACATAGGTATGGATTTCGGATTAGATAAATGTGCAAAAGTAACATTCAAGAAAGGGAGAATCACAGAAACACACACAATAAATCTAGATTTTGTCACAAAGATAAGGAAACAGGAACAAGTAGAAGCCTATAGGAATTATCGAAGGAGATATAATACAGCATACTCACATGAAGAAGAAGTTAAGAAAGGAGTACTACAGGCGTGTACGTCTGGTACTGAATACTGAGCTAAATACAAAAAAAAAACTGAATATCAGCCATAAGCAGCTTGGATATCCCAGTGGTGCAATACAGTTTCAACATTCTTAACTAGACCATATCTGACATTGAGCGAATGGACGCTAAAACGAGAAAGCTTCACTTGCCACCGCATGCCTCATCCGAAGGCTGATGTTGATCATCTGTATGTGCCCGCAGGAGGCAGAGCATTAGTTAAACTAGAACTGTCTTACAAAACTACAACAATCAGTCTTCAAAGATACCTGGAATTTACAGAGGACTCTATGATGATCTGTGTCAAAGAACATGAAAGGCGAAAATTTCTTCAGTGATAAAGGAGGCCAACGAGTTCAAAATGGAGTTGCAAATGGGTGACAAAATGCAAGCAAAACATAATATACAGCTGCAAAATACTTAAAAAAAGAAAGCAAAGGCAAATGCAACCGACCAAATACAGAAACGATGGCAAGATAAAGCGCTTCATGGTCAATACTTTGCAAGCACCAAAACAAGCTGATGTAGACAAACGCCGTATTCATCAGTGGCTACGTTGTGTAAAGTTATAAGCTGAAACTGAAGGTTTTATTCTTGCTGCACATGACCAATGCTTACTAACTAGAAATTACCAAGTACATATACTGAAAAACTGTTAACCCAAAATGCAGATTCTCCGGAAACAAATGGCTATCTTTTATCAGGTTGCACGATAATGGCACCCACTGAATATAAAACCCGGTACTACAGAGTGGCCAATATCTCCATTGGAAAATATGCAACTTTTACGGAAAGGAAATTGCAAGAAATAGGTATGAACACCACCCAGACCCGTTACAGAGATAAGACATGTAACTATATTATGGGACTTAACAATACACACAGACAGGACAGTCAAATCTAATCGTCCAGACATCGTGATTAGAGACCGCAAAGACAAAATGTGCCTTCTTATTGACATGGCAGTCCCTGCAGTAATGTACCATTGAAGACGTTCAAAAACTATCAAAATTCAAGGACCTTGAAATCGGAATCTCAAAAATGTGGCACATGAAGACATCAACAATTCAGGTTGTAGTTGGAGCACTAGCTTTGATTGGAAAAGATTCGAACAGACTCAATGAAGGGATTCTTGGCAGTCCATGCCTAAAAGAAATGCAAAAAAATGTTCTCACAAGTACAGCCCACACCTTACGAAGGTCTTCATCAATATAAAATATGTGTAATTTGTTTTTCAAAAATGCTCAGGGTATAGTGTCATGATGCACTTTCTGAACTTAGGTCACTGGTCACGACCCGGAAAGAAATGAGTATGCACCAGAAATCAAAGGAAAAAAATTATTATTATTATTATTATTATTATTAATAATAATAATAATAATAATAAAATTAACCCATTATTGCATAAAGTTTTCTTAAGATCCCAGGCTCTTTCTTCCTGACCTACCTTGCTGGCTAAAGGTGATCTTAGTAATGGCGTATTTTAAACCCCATCTCTAAAAATATGGACGCCATGCCTTAATGGGTTAAACAGTTTCAGTATATCTTATTAGGTCTTAATTAACCAAAGAAGGTATGAAATTTATTAATTATTAAATCCAGTTGGTGCCCTCACCCACGTTTGGATTATGGTATAATCATATATATATAAAAACAATGATTTTTCAAGACGTGTTTCAATGCCCTCTTGGAATGAACTCTCAAGGACGTAAACAGCGAGGAGATATAGGGGTTGTCGATATAATTTTAATAAGGCGGTGGGATTATATAACCATTATAACTCTTATTAAAACGTCTAACAGCATTTTATATATGCATTTTTCTGCTTACATACAATTTCGACGTTTTTTTTAAATACATTTACGTACAATGGCTATATGTGTATGAAGCAAAGAACTGCAAATTAAACTTGGTTTGACTCCGTAACCGTCACTTGGATATTCCCTCCAGAGATTACTTCTGTTGATTCGCGCTTGTATAATGCACACAAAACTTAAACCCGTGACGTTAATTCTGTGGCATTAATACTGCTGTATTAACCGGTGCAATTTTAACATAGAGGTTAACAAATTGCGCTAATATCAAAAAAGATACACTGGAAAAGATGAACTGTCATTTTAAACCCATTTGTCTACCATACTCACTCGACTGAATTACATCGATATGTCTCATACTCATTCGCCTCTATTTTTCTGCGATATATATATATATATATATATATATATATATATATATCTTTTCTTTTTCGTTCTTTAATGTCTCTATATTTAAGACTCTCCCAAATTTCAGGAATTTTTGTTTTATGTAGAGCTTCTTTTTTCCGGTTGAGGGCTGTAGAAGTTAAAAAAAAATCACCATTTCAGTTTCACTTGGGGAGATGAGCAAAAGCGTTATGACGATTCAGTCGCATGATCCTGTTGTATAAGGAGTATGGTGTCATTACACGAACAGTTTTCCCCCGCTTGGTGGGCCCTTATATAGACTGACAGAACTTGATCTGACAGTTAACGATAGTCACGTGTGTGTACTGAAGCGAATACCATGCCATGCTGTCAACACGAGTTGCTATCAACCAAATTATTAATTATGTCACATTGACTTGAATACACTGTTCTCTTTTATTTCCTTCCTGACATTTCTTTCTTTTCTTACCATTTTCTCTTTCTTTTTACCATTCCCTCCACCACACATTTTGTCTTTCCTGATTCAAATTTAGCCCTTTGACTGATTGATTCATTGATTAGTTTTTTTACGGTTTATCAACCTTTTACTCTTAAGATAACTTTATGCAACAATGGGTTAATTTCGTTATTATTATCATTTTTGTATGTTTTTTTTTACTTTGTATCCTGCAGAGCCGGATCCAAACTATGGTCTTTAGGCTCTGCAGGAGAATTGTCATTTAAATGCTAGCACATTTCTTAGTATATGGGATGTTTCTAGTAGGGCGATCTTCTGGCGAACTTGATCTTACCTGGGTTACTGTTAGTAAAATTGTCCATTCCTTTTCTGACGAGGCTCAGAGCTCCGATTACTCTTGGTACAGCCTCAGTCTTCATTCCCCACCCCCTGTTAATCTCGATCTCTAGGTCATTGTATTGGGACAAGTTTTCGATAATTTTCCTGACGGTGTTTCTCTCAGATGGTACTGCTATGTTAATAAGCACAAACTTCCTACATTTTTTGTCTTTTATGATAATATCAGGTCTATTGTCTTTTATTTCCCTGTTAGTTTGAATTAACATTTCCCAGTGGATAGCTGCATCGTTATTTTGGGTAACTGTTTTTAGTTGGGGTCTATACGATCTCTCAGTAGTTTCGATTTTGTGCCTATTATTATTATTGTATGTTTCTGTTTAGGGCGCACCCACCTTCTCAAGAGAATGGACTGATCTCTCTACGATATATGTCAGTGCTAGAGAGATCAGGGGAGACCAGAGAGATCTGGAGATCAGGTGACCATTACACTTCCGTCTCTCGACCGGAAGTTACCGTTGAACTTTAGACTCTTGCTGATTGTTATTACTAACCTGTGTTCGTTATTACTAATCACTCTGTTGTTTAATACCTCTTACAAATATACCAGTATTTATCCCTACAACTGTGTTTGTCTTTATTTGAATACACACACGCGGGAATACTCACAACATCTCAACAGTTTCCTGCTTTATATTGTGTAGAGTCGGGTCTAAACTATGGTCTTTAGGCCCTACAGGAGAATTGTCATTTAATTGATAGCACTTTTCTCAGTATATGGGATGTTCCTAGTAGGGCGATCTTCTGGGCAGCTTGTATGCTGATATTATCTGGGACACTCTTAGTATAAATACTCATTCCTTTACTCCCGAGGCCCAGATCTCCGATTACTATTGGTACAGTCTAAGTCTGCATTCCCCACATCCTGTTAATCTCGATATCCAGGTCCTTATATTTGGACTATTTCTCGATAATTTTCATGGAAGTGTTTCTCTCAAATGATACTGGTATATCAATAAGTACACTCTTTCTGAATATTTTGTCTTTTTGACAATATCAAGTCTCTTGGTTTATATTTCCCTGTCAATTTGAATTTACATGTCTCAGGATAGTTACATCGTTTTTTAGGCAACTACTTGATGCTCATACTATCTCTCAGTGGTTTCGATTTTGTGCTTCTTGCATATCTTCCTGTGCACATATGTCGCTACCTTGTTTTGTCTGTGGATACATTGATTTTTTGCTAGTTCACGACATCCTGAGATAATATTGTCGACTTTTTCACATTATTTTCCGCAGATCACGCAATATTATTATTATTATTGAATAGACAAAATGTATCTTTAGATTGTAGGGATATTTAAGGTGGATAATAATGCTTTACTGATACAAATCTGACTAATTAACACATAACTGAAGGGTAAGAGATGTATTCTTATATTTCTCAAGCGTATTTTACGCATAATTGAATATAATAGACCCAACGGGAATTGAACCCCGACTCTCCGGTTTCCAATTTTGATCCGTTATTCATTACACCACTCGCACATTCAAGCTTACAGCACCTGGTATTCCCAAGCAGTCACCGACCTAGATACTTACCAGGCTCGACGTTGCTTAACTTCGGTGATCATATTAGATTTTTCTTTTCTTTCTATAGTGTAGTTTATTTATATATTAAGACATTCATTATTGCGGAAATATTCCGTTGTTTTCAGTTTGGTCGTAGAACTGAAATGGTAGAAAATTCCCGTCATCTGTCGTTAATAGTCATTATTTTTTTTCTGGGAATAATGATTACAAATCGAGCGTTTGAACGATGGTTAGAAAATGAACCCTGAAGGATATTTGCTAATGTTGGAAGTTTAATCTTCCTTGGATGTTTCACAATTGTTGCTCGATCCAAGACTATTTTAAGTTATTTAAATTTCCACTAATGTACTAATTGGAAGTTCACTTTAGTTTAATTAACTATCCATTCTTTCTTTATTAACTCAAGTTATTTCTTTTCTAGTTAAATTATATATTTAGATTGACTAACAAAACTTAATATGTCACAAAATATTTTATTTCTAAAAAGTGTGTCACCGATGCAAAAAGTTTTGGAAATCTCATGCAATAAGATCTCTTGGGCACCTCGACGTGATGTAATGATTAACAAGCTTGTCTCGCTAGAACAATTACGACTGAATAGTGAGTTCGATCCTCACTGGATGTCTTATACTTTCGGCCTTATATCAGATCTAAGTACGCTTAGAATATCAGCATCCAATAAAACCTCGCTGGGTGCTCAACAATTGTAACCCAGTGCCAGACTAAGTTAAGATAAATAGACATCTACATGGGTACCAGCTGGAGAGCCAAGTTTAAAAAGATACATTTTCTGACTCTTCCCAAGCGTAATGAGCTTGATTCTTATGACCCTGTGTCAGACTATGCTAAGCTTTGTAATATATTCGTGGTTGACATGGTGGAGCATTCCTGTTACCAGTGGAGTTTTTTCTAGGCAAGCAAGCCGTACTTGGCGCAACAGATTCTTCTACTTCACCTCATTCAAATTTGTGTACGACGTGCAAAATTAATACAGTGTAACCCGGATATAAGAGAGTTGTCGGGACCGGAGAAGAAGTCTCTTATATCCGGGTTTCTCTTATATCCGGGCTTGGTCTATTTTGTTTAGGTAAGTATGGGCTCTAATTTGGGACCATAGAAAATCTCTCTTATATCAGGGTCTCTTATATCCGGGTTACACTGTATTAAAACTGAAAAGGCAATAGGACGATATTAGCTACTGAACTAACTAAATAAGTTTGTTATGACGCCAAGAGTTTTCTCCCTTTAATTCAGATTTTAAGCAACACTATCCACATTAGTCGAGTGTTTTTGCAATTGTTTTTCGTTTCCTTATTTGATTTAATTCCCCATGTTTCCATGGCGGCGGATTGTTTGCTTTTATTTGGACTAATTTTATTCTAGTCAAGACGAAAACAGACATTTGAGACTGCATCAAAAATTGGATTAAACCGTACTGACAGAGTCGTTCAGCTTTGCTTTACAAGGGAGGACAGATTTGTTTATGTAAACACCAGAAAACCGATTATGGTTTCGGGTTGACGTCGGTCGAAGTCTGCGTCTCGGATTGATCGATTCATTCGCGGTTTTCAGTAAGAAACGCATTTAATAAAAGTGATTATGAAGATATTCTGTCGAAGATGTTTCACAGTTGCTCGCCATATTTTTTTATAATCATTCAGTTAGATCTTCTAATCAATTTGCACGAAATTGTTAATCGGAAAGCCGAGTTTAAATCCAACTTGAGTTAGTTTATGAACTTATGCGCGAATACCCTTGCGAAAGGTATGAATCCACTTTTTTCCGCATCTATGGATTTATTAGTAAGACTTTTATCACTGAAATCATTATTACCTCCCAATCAAAAAAAAAAAGAAAAAATTCTTACAATCTAAAAATATTTTTGGCAAAATAAACGGTAAAAAATGAATGAATGAATCACTGATAGACCACGAACAGACATGTAGTGTTTACTCATTCCCCCACGAGAATGAGATGTGACACAAGGTCGGATTAATGTGGGAACCCGAACGCGTGCACCCGGGTAGGGTCAAAAATTCCCCTCAGCCCCCGCAACCGTCGGTTGTGCTGGCCTCGGTGCGAGCACCGATACCTCCCGCTTGTGCAATGGGATGGCGCGGCCTCAAACAGCTGTTTCCCAAGGCTGGGCACCTCTTCAGTATAATTTTTCCCAGTTGCCCCTCTGTCCTTTGACAGAGAAGCCCCTGAGCGCACTCTGTCCAAGGACAGAGACGCAACTGAGATATGATAAGTAATGTGCATAAATTACATGATTTACGAACAGACATATGCTTTGAAGAGACTACTGTCGGAGTTAACCTACACATGATCATAGTGAAGGTCGATGAGCAAGCAGTTCAAAACGATTGGGTTTCTTCATGCGCATCGAATCTCTACTGTTCGGAACATGAATCCGTGCAAATGTTGTGTAGACAATTGAATGAGATGTGAATTTAATTTTGAAAATTTAGTTTCAAAACAAAATTTAAAGAGAAAAAGCAATACTCCAGTAACATTTAACTTTTATTATATAATACAGGATTGAATTTATAAGCGAACCAAATCAAATATTTTATCTAACACATCAATCCTAAGTCATTAACAGAATTATTTTAACACAATTTATGTCACCATAAAAGTAACGTTTTTTAAGAAAAGAAAATACGATCCTTAAATAAACTTACTTAATATCTGCTGAGGACTGGGTGTGAAAAATTAATGTAACTATAGCTACAGATTTAATATAATAAGATACTCCCTAACGATTGAACGGAGTTATTGCTAGAGGGTCCATCTACGAAATGTTGAAGGTAGCATCAATCTGTTAAGTGATAAACTTTATATTTGTATTAATTCAGTTTCTTTCTCCCCCCCTCTCTCTCTCTCTCTATATATATATATATATAACATATATTGTTAAATATAATCGACAATGAATGTCTGTTATGTTTGATCATGAGCCGGTCTAAACTTCGTATGGTTGCTTTAATTCCTGATGGAAATTTCATCGTTATTCTAACAGTGAGTCAATAACTTTCAGCAGATAAGTAGTTTTGACGGCAGTATACACCCCCAAAATATCGAAACCAAAATTGTTCTTGGCAAGAATTCTTCCCATCCTCTATTAAGTAATGCATGCTGCGGGAAAAGATTACCAGAAAATCTAAACAAGGACATTTTCACCTGTGTCTAGTTATTAGTAGTTATAATAAATGAAATTATGTTGTATTATGTACATAATCCATTCTTTTGCAAAACTTCTATGTTCTAAGTACTTTCGTCAAAAGTGTTAAAATATTTTTTTGAATTTTAAGATTTTATTGAATTATATATATATATATATATATATATATATATATATATATATATATTTCTGACACGAACAGTCTACAATGGCGCTGACAATACAGACGACCGATATCTTCGTCAAAATAGGATATTCACTATATGACGTGATTTTGGATTTTATTGTATATTAATTTTGCTCTGTAATAATAAATACATTGAGCTCTTTTTGCGAATCATTTTTAATATTTTATATTACTAGGATCCACCAACTTGGATTATATACCAACAGATTTGTTACCTTTAGTATATATATATATATATATATATATATATATATATATATATATATATATACAGTAACGGTAACAAATCCGTTGGTATATACATATAAAGACAAGAGGAAAAACACGTTTCGTCCAAGAGGGATTTTATCAACGCAAAAACTTAATAAAGACCCCCAGAGAACGAAACGCGTCGCTAAAAATAGTTTTTCTTTTTGTCTTTTTATTCATTTTGTTCCTTTACTATCTGTAAATAATTTACACGCGCACAAACATGTATATATATATATTTGTGTGTGGGGGTGTAAACATTCAGATATAAATAAAATATGTCTGTAAAGACAATATAACCAAACGACAAAAGGAAAACTTTTCTTTATCAACGAGTTTAGCCCCCGAAGAAATTTATCAAGGTAAATGTTGACCTTCACCTACGGGACGAAACGCGATAATAAAGAAAGCTTTAGTATTTGTCCAATATATATATAAAATTATAGTTACCTTCAATGTTGGTGAGGAGATCAAGATGAATGCAGAAAATTATTCTCAGATCTTGGAGGAGACATATTTTGGATAGTCCAGTATACGATCAAAGAACTTTAAGTTAGATTGTATATTTATGCAGATCAATGTACTTTCATATTCTGCAAATTGAGAGTTGTCCATTTCCAAGACTGGTTGGCCTCTTTTGGTTCAATACCTTTAGCCAGTTTAGTCATACCTGGGAGCGAGAGAATATAGTAAAGTCGTTTTCCATAACTTTTTTCATTGTATGGAATTCAGAACATTGTTATTTTCCTAAAGTGGTTGTTTTCCCAAAGCTAAAGAGTCCGTTCTACCCTAGTATTTTATCAATAGATTATTAATGTAAAGTGAACGTGACAGATTTGGTTAGACTTTAATTCCATTTAGACTTTGGTGACAGATTTGGTTAGACTTTAACTCACCCTGCCAATTCCATTTCCGTTTCGCTATCTGCACATTCCATTTACGCAACTCTCATTTATATTAGATGAAGATTAGCTTGCCATTATTAATCTTTGACTAGTATTTCTTTCATCTTAGGTTTTACTGATCACCCAAATGTTATCAAAAGACAAAAGAAGGTGAAACCATATGTAAACATTAACCATTTACAAAAATTTCCAGTTCCGGTAAAAACCAGAAATCTATTAATTTAATGCACAACTGGCCATCGTTTTTTTTTCCCTCCGAAAATTTTTGCAGACACTAAGCATAAACTACAAGAAGGCAGAATGCATGATTATCAGCAAAAGGGGTCAGCCCAAAATGCAAATTACAGGTCGGGGATACTAAAATCAAGCAGGTATAGAAATTTTAAATATCTGGGAAGTATTCTAACAGAGGACAGATTCTGCGACACTGAGATCCGAAGACGTATTGGGATAGCGAAAGATGCCTTCTAAAAGCTAAGCAGATTATTAAGAGACGGAAATTTTTTGTTAGAAACAAA